AAATCACCCTTCAACGTGTTCAAAGCATTCATATTCTGTAATGACAATAGGTGCTCTGCTATGCAGTCTGCTATGCGTGTGAATATATCTACCCTTTTATTCTTTTATCTTACTACTGACTGATATATACTTACAATAAAGTTAACACGTCCCAATTTGCGATTATTATGATGGCACTTATTAGTTCCTCTTTTCACAGAATACTTTTGCATTTCATACAGTCCGTGTTTTGTTACACTTTCCATTGTTATAAATTCCTAGAATTACAAGAACAATAGGAAGAAAATTAAACGGATACGTGCATTATTGTAGGAAAAGTAAATGCAATATAAATGAAATTCCATTGCATTACAACAGCCACCTGGTTCATGTGACTTAAGCGTCATCATAGGTGTCAATATAATATTATGTATGCGTATGTATTGGTGTATTATTGTGATGTACGTGTATTTTCTTATTACCTTGGGTATGGCAAAGAATTGAGATAATTTCCCCAATACCTTGGCCTTTCTGGTATCACTCAAATCGTGCCAATTATTGTTCTTGAGCACAAGGGAAAGTACGAATTCACTATCACCGTAATGGCATTGTGACAATTCGACAGCATAAGGATCCTGATGTGGATGTAATTGTTGATTATTATGATGATAATGATGATGATGGCCGGCATCAAATACAATGACCGTAGGTTCATCTTTCGGTTCAATTAGAGGAACCTGAAAATAATACAAAAGTATTTCAAGTGGAGAATAACTAATTATAAGGCATTTATGTAGCTGTGACGCCCACCTACAGTGGGTGATAATTTTTTCCTTTTTTTTTTTTTTTTTTCTTTTCTTACTAATTATATCTAATGATTAATGTTTCCTTTCCATGTGTAATGAAAATTTTTTACTTTCCCCATTTTTTACCATCAATTGTTGCGTAATTGACTTAAACGGTAAAACGTTCGTTTCATTTCCAGTGTGAAATACCGTAACATGTTTTCTTTATTTATTCCTTTTCTTTTTTTTGTAATACTTTTCATGCTTGTCTGACTGACTCCTAGGGGTATGTACGCATATGTATGTACGGTATATATATTTATATATATATATATATATAAATCCTCTCCCTCTTTTTCTATTTTAAAGTAACAGACGGGAAAATGATTAATAATTCAAATGACTCTGACACTGACTGCAGGGTCTTAATTATGTACTTTGCACATACATGCACACAGAAAATCATTTATGCATATGTAACATGACATTTGCATAATAATTTCATTTCAAACATTTCTCATTACATTAAAGAAAAAAAAAAAAAAAAAAAAACGAAAAACGATGCAAAAATTTAAAAATCACCTGCATTGCTACAGAAAGAGAGAAAAAACAAAAAGGAAAAAGTGACAGAGCGAACGAGGCGGCGAAAGATGTTAAGGTAAAAAAGTTTGACATCCTTTTAATTCAGAATGCCGCAGCATGGTAATTAAGTCTCTATAATATTAAATTAAACTTTTGTGTATAGCGGACGCAGAAAACCTGTAAACAATTTAAAAGTTTTCGCATTGGTTTCGCAAAGGTAGTCAAAAAAAATTCACAACTGTTTTGAACAAATTTTTGAATTTTGAACGCTTTTAACGTACGGCGCCACATCAAGAGACGGGCTAATTGAAATAGGCAAAGAGTCCAGCGCGTACTTGCAATAAAAGGCTTTAAGCAAAACGGTTACTCTTAGTGAGGTTATTCAAAATGGTATAATATTTCTAAGGGTGTTACGTGGATACCACTTTGGACACAAGAATTGATTCCATCGATTGTTCGTGATGCGGAAGATGAATGTTTGGATCACTCGCCAAGATGCGAGGGATTACCATTTCGTAGGTTTAGGGCCGCCAAACCCCTATCCGATACAACAATCATGCCGAGGCGAGAATACTGAATGCCCTTGGCTTTCTTTTGAAAAATCACACCCTTCGGGTCTCTTAGAAAAACCAATGGCTTCTCAAGGGTCATTTCGAAAGTTCAGGCTGGCACTTGAAGCATTGGCGGAGGGCAAAATATCTATACAACAGACGCTCTTCAGTTATTACGTCCAGCTTGACTTCCACTTGTTTTTTTGGAAATTTTTCTTACATATAAGACATATAAGGCTTCCAATAGATCTCCTTTCACTTACTCTCTTCTTCCATTATGATCATCTTTATAGTACCATGTTCCGTCTGTTTGATTGAAGAAATCGGTTCAGAATTATTTTTTGTTAACTTTTCCTTTCTATCGAAATATTATTTGTGTTAGACATTCGAAAAATGGAAGCTATATAAACATCCAAAAGGAGTTGTGCGGTATCCGAGCAACTGAATAACAAAATTAATATCCTCAAGATGCTCGGAGAGACATTAAATCGGTACTTGCGATTATTCACATTATGTATATCTTACACTCTCTTGGAGCTTCCTCCTAGATATGGCGAACGTTTTCACAAAATTAATGTAACTCCAAACTTTGGGGGAATGTTTCTCCCCGAGAAGACGATCCGGAAGATCAAGAACGGCGTAACAGCATGTGTTCTGCGAGTAGGTTGCGAGATGCAGTGATAAACGTGAAGTACCGCATAGTATAGTGAATAGATTCGTGACTGCCAGGTCGTTGACCGTGGGTTCGAATGTGAATCCGGTAGACCGTACCTTATAAATAACTATGTAACATAGCTACATAGACTTATGTTTGCCCATAACACTTTATGTAAATTCCATGTAGGCTTACGTTTGTCTTCAACACTTTAATACCTATATTGTATAATTTACTTCCTTTTCTGGTTGATATTCTCGGATATATAATGTCGTAGTTTGGCTTAAGTTCACTTTGCTAATACCTTGAGCCTAAAAATATTCGTGGCAAAAATTTTTTTTCATTCAAAAATTAAGTTTGCTGTACTTCGTTGATCTTCCCTACAATAGTGCAGTTCAAGCTCTTTAGTCTTAATGTGCTATGTTGCTTAGTATGGCTGAATGGTGTCTTTGGCGCCAACGATGAATAAATAAATAAAATTAGTTAAGAGGAGGTTCTTTTACAGTTGAGAGCAAAGCGTTAAGTTCTTAGTTGCGGACTACGTTTAGGCAACAAGTTGATGTTCTTTTTCTTTAGAGCCTTTTTGCCTTATGATCGTCGATGTTGATATAATCCTCGAAGCGTCATTTTCAAGGTTTTTCCAAGGCTGTTCCATTATAGAAAGAAGTATTATCTTACCGTCCTAAGATATTTTACGCTAGATATACTATATATGTTATATGCAAAAGCCACTCAGAAGAAGTAAAGGGCACGATTATGGTCAGGAAGAGCTATAGGTAAAAAAAGATGGAAAAACGGAGTAGGGCTTGTTTACATTTGGCTTAAAAGCGGGAATATTAGGTGGGAAAGATCACCATTTGGTAGATTATTCTAGACGCCGCCAGTGTGGCAATTCCATAATGAGTGCGTGAGGACGCAGGGAAAGTCTTGTGGTTCTGAGAAAATATTTAATTGGCCGACACGCCTCGCTTTATGTGAGCATAAGCGTTACAGAGGATAAATTTTCGCCGTCCATGAGCATCTGAGCAGCTCCAAACAGGATTTGTAGGCTCCCGCACCACATGTAGGTATAAGCGGCGTAATTGCCAGGGATATCAGCTGTAGTGAAGAATTTCTTGCATCGCTTTACGAAACCTAAGCCTTTGACTGCATCTTTCGACTCTGTGGATACATTTTATGTTCCGTTCAACGAACATCATTTTGTATTCCGATGTCGACAACTTGGTTGTCTGTGTATGCTTTAAGGAAGAATTACGAACACTCAGAGAAGTCAATTATTACGCGTGATAGGACCCCATCAATCCATTCTAGTATTAACATTGACGCATCTTCTCTTCTAGTGAAGCGCTCCAAGAAATGTAAATTTCTTGTAACCTCCTGCATAGTCAGTATTTTACTGCCCTATACACTAAATATGAATAACTTTAAGCAAATTAATGGTAAAACATTAAAATTACTTACAATTCGCTCCTGATAGTAGTTTGCGATTTCTTGCTAATTTACTCCTGAAAGTAGGCAATTTAGAATAATTTTCAATGCCTCGCGTTCGCTGATGATAAAATATTTTATATAACTTTAATAGTTCGTTTAATGAATAAATTAATTTTTTCAAAATACTTGTAAAGCCAACGAACTTGTATTAAGATTGACTTAAGCATCTGAAGTAGCTCTTGGGCTACCTTAACATGCACTTATTAATACATACGTAATTTCATTTTCTTTTCAACTAACTCAAGTCTTAAAGATAATAAACATGAGAAACCTTAAGTTTCGTTGTAGTTTTGCTATAAAATTCACAGACATGCAATTATTACATTAAACACACAGCCCTCAGTTCTCTTTGTAATGTTAATTAATAGTTAAGACAACATGGAGAGTGATGCTGCTCATGTTAATGTTATAGATAATTATTATAATAACTTTTTTCTAGAACTTAAGGCTCTCTTCGCTTTCCTTATACTAGTTTTCTTGCAATAATGTTTTGTTGTTGTTATAATGTCTCAACTATTTGATGATGCTGTTGTATACATAGTGTTCTTGTTGGCTATTACATATGATTATTAACAATAAATTGAAATGGAGCAAAAGAAGAATAACACGAGCAACACGAGCATCATAGAAATCATCAATCATGTTCTTTTTTTTTTTTTAATTTTTTTATTTTTTTTATTTCGTTTAATTGCCATACTAAGAACAACAGGGCGATAATAATTTTATAAATATTTCATAAACATACATTTATCACATACACACAATCACAAATGAATAATAACTATAAGCAAAAAAAAAACAAAAAAAAAAAGTTCATTTTACAATTCTGTCCTTTCCTTTGGTACAAATTTTAAATGCAATAAAAGTGAAAAACAAAACGGAAAAGAAATTAAATCCTATTATTATAAAAGATGTGAGATGCTATTGCTCTTATTATTTACCACAGCAATCTTATTGCTGTTGCTGTTATTATTGTTGTTGTTGTTACTGCTGCTGCTATTTTGCTTTTTCTCATAAACGCTTGCACGCATAAACACAAACAAATAAACATGTTCCCGAATCTTGTCTAAATCAGTTCTATCCAGAATCATATGCTTTTGATGCCCTTTTTCTTCGCAACAGCTTGCCTATCTACATACAAATATATAAATAAAAATTACATAAATATATACATAGATATATATATATATGCATACATACATGTGTACATATATATATGTGTGCATCTACGTAGTTATATATATTGCATGTTTGTTTCAATGTCTGTCTTTATATATGTAAACCACGTACACATCACTCTCCTCTATATAAATGTGTATATGTTTCGGTTGACTTTTATCCCTCGGAAAAAAAAAAAAAAAAAAAAAAATCAACGGAGCATCTGTATGCGTGAATGCTTGCGTGCAACTTCGAGGCCTGCCGTACTTAATGCACCGTGAAAAAGCAACAAAAATATGTTTATGTTTTTTTTGTTTGTTTGTTTGCTTATAAATATTTCTCCGCTTTTATTGTTATATTCTATAGTACAGCGACTATGGCGGTTCTTTTTTTTTTATATTTATTTATTCTTTTTTTTTTTTTTTTTTATTAGTAATGGTGTAGTTGTGATTTTATAAACAAGCAGCCTCATTGTTGTGTTTCCTTATTCTCTTCTTTTTTTTTTCGTCATGCTT